CTGTCTTTGCAATTTCTTAAGCAGATTGACTTTGATATATGTAACATTATAGTTTACTGTATAATAAAACAGTTTTTTCTCTTTTCTATTATTGTGGAGTTTCTCTGGGGCTGGAGGAAATTTTTCTTTTAATTATACTTTCCCAATACTGTCTAGAATAATCAGAAATGATATAAACACATAAGGTGCCAACAAAGCTTAACTGTAGCAAGGATTTTCCCCCTCTGCCTTCCAGTAAACTCATAATTGTGCTGCAGAGTGCATGCTATCTCCTGAATACACAGGTAGAATTGTGTCTCTGTGTATTTGATATCTGTAGTCTCCTACAGTCACTTCTAGAGAGGATAGATCAGATTTTTACAAACTTCACAGGGCAGCAATCAATCATTTTACCTCTTTCAGTGACTCTTTTGTTTCAGACCTCACAGACCATGAGGCCAGCCTGGAAACCCAATCAGCGTAATGACGTGTAGTCATGAGAATCTCCAGTTTTCCCTTCCTCCTCTTGCTAAAAGGCCCCCAAATTTCCTCTTACTGTAATGCCCAAAGATGCCGGTAATATCTTGCTATTCCAGCAATCCAGGACCTAAACCTGCAGATCTAAATTTGGGGAAACAAAACCTTTTATTTGAGAAAGACAAATTCTTTCAGTTGTCAAACTCAGATACATTAAAATGAGAGCAAAATTTTGTCATTTTTTCATCTTTGAACTATATCTCCTAAAGCTTTTCACTATTGTCATTAGAAGCTATAAATTAAACTACTAATATCACACTGGGTACCATAACTAAAACCCTAAATCTTGACTATGTATATCCAATCAATAATTAATGTTATTTGTGTCAATAAATAAGAATTTTGGTATCAGCTCATTCTCTGTCCTTTTTTTTAACCTTTACAAATTCACTGGTAACTACTGCTAATTAATGTATAGATTCCAGGCAACTTAAATCTTTGCTGCCAAGTTACAGTCCTCAAATTTGGCTCAAATACACTGTCTACTCATATTCACATTGACTTGGCTTTTTCTTTTTAGGTGTACATATCACTTTGTACTAGAGCAGTCTGTAAGAGGGGCTTTCTCATTTGATTGTACTCCACTTGCTGTAACACCCAAGAATGCAGAGCCTGGTTGATCCCACCTAGAATCTGCATGTAAGTTCTGGCCTCTGCCTGGTATTACAAAACCGGGCCAGACTTAGAGTAAAAAATGTACTGAAAACCAACAAGAGGACTTTTCTGCATGTGAGATGTCAACAATGAATGTTTAAAGTTTCTTTTTGAGAATGTGGCTCTTTGAGCTTGAGCTTTTCAGCTCTTACCCAGTGACCTGCTATATTTATGTGAGAGGCTTCAGGTGTAAACAAAATCAGATGGCAAAATCCGCATGTGTAAAAAAGCATCTTCAGAGTGAGAGTTCAAGACCACAGTGTATCCAGAGCATAATCACAACTACACCTACCTGTAAAAGGTGATTCTGTAGTATAGTATTATTCTGCTTCCTCTTACCCAAGAGCTAGCTAGTCAGGACAAGGTAATCCAGGGTCTGGAGCTACACCAGGGCAGTTCCATTTTCTGTTTAGAATAAGCCTGAGTTTACCCTGCCTGGCACCCTTGGGCCATCAGCCCAGGCTTACTGGAAGCCCTCTCGCAATCAGTTTGGTGTCATTGAGAAAGCTGAGGATATTCAGAGCAGTACTGTGTCAGTCAGACAAGAGTGGTTAATTCTCGTAAGTCTCATGGTAAGAGAAATGAGTCAGCTTGTGTTTGTTCCTCCCCTCATATAAAAGATGCTTTGGTATCCAGATGAAAATTTCTCCAGTTTCCTGGAACTTGGTTGAAAAATAACATCTGGAGACTGAAACAAATAAAGTATTTAAAAAATTATTTTTTATGGCCATTCAGAAAATACTTGGAACAGTGATGTTTTTTACCATCCAGGAACTTTTATTCTAGACTAGCAACTAGATACATTGTTGAATTAAGAATCATATAGTTGGGGCTGAGTGCAGTGGCTCACACTTATAATCCCAGCACTTTGGGACACTGAAGCAGGTGGATCACGTAGTCAGGAGTTCAAGACCAGCCTGGCCAAGATGGTGAAACCCTGTCTCTACTAAAATACAAAAATTAGCCAGGCGTGGTAGTAGGTGCCTAAAATTCCAGCTACTCAGAAGGCTGAGACAGGGAATTTCTTGATTGTGGGAGAGGGAGGTTTTAGTGAGCTGAGATCATGTCACTGCACTCCAGCTTGGGTGATAGAGTGAGACTCCATCTCAAAAAAGAAAAAAGAAAGAATTATATGATTGGTGCAATAAATAGACATATGCAAGAAATCTTAGGGTTTACTTGGGCCACTTTATATTATTGTGACTTCTAATGTCATCATCTTAAGAGATATTTAGGGTCAGAATTGTTGTTTTTACTATTTTTATTTTACTTTGCTAAGAATACATATTTATCTTCTAAGAAAATTATCCTAGAAAATCTTAAAATATTTATTTTAATTGCCTGTTAGTGTATGTTATAAAATTGAAGACACAGTGGCTGAAAAAGATAAAAATTACACAAACGCTGGCATTTAAGTTAAGTAAATGGCATTAAGTAAACATAGGAAAAACAGAACTGGAAATTCGTCTCAGAGGCATAGAGAGTAGAATTGTACATAAGGTAATCTCCCGGACCCAGTTCTGCTCAGAATCACCTTATTTGGGAGCTTCATTTAGGTTTGGCCGCACCCTAGAGTCTTGCCTCAGAACTAATTAGAGAAAATCAGACTTTTGAGTGGTGAATCCTGGCATCTTATTTTCTTTTCTCTTTTCTTTTCTTTTTTCTTTTTTGACAGAGCCTTGCTCTGTAGCCCAGGCTGGAGTGCAGTGCTGTGATCTCAGCTCACTGCAACCTCTGCCTCCGGAGTTCCAAGCAATTCTTCTGCCTCGGCCTCCTTAGTACCCTTCGCACACCACCACACCCAGCTAATTTTTGTATTTTTAGTAGAGATGGGGCTTCACTGCATTGGCCAGGCTGGTATCAAATTTCTGACCTCGTAATCTGCCTGACTCAGCCTCCCAGAGTGCTTGAATTGCAAGCATGAGTCACTGTGCCCTGATGAATCCCTGCTACCTTTCTAGAGCTGTTGCGCACAATTCCCTGAAACCCAAAAGGAGATAAATGAAAAACTTAGTATGTATTTTAAGGTTTTAATTTTTAAATTTTCTGTTAACACTAGTGCTTTTAGAGACTCTCCATTTAGCAACTTGTTTTCTACCCCTTCATATCTAGTAGTTGTTAAATGATTAACAAGAAAGTAAACATAAATACAATAACAATTTCTCTAAACTGCATTAACCTCTTTCTTTTTCTGTATCCCTCTCATCTGTCTATATTTAATTTTTATTCTATACATTTTTTTAAACAGTTACAGAGAAACAGAAAAGTAAATAAAAATGCTGGGCCCTTTATTTAAATAATGGGAATTATTAGACACTTAGTACCAATCCCAGGGTTTTATGAAGATTAAATCTCATAATATGTTATTCCCAGCATGTTCTCTGTAACATTCTCTTGACCACATAGTACTTGCTTTATAAACATTGCATTAATACCTGTGTACATGTTGTTTTCCAAATGCAGACTTATTCAGTCATTACTTCCTCATAAAGATCCAGCAAATAATATGATATTGTGGGATGGAGACTTGTTGTCTTCATTTGTACCAGAATTATATGTGTTGTGACAAGAGTGCTGAGCGTAAGGGATTCTGTGCTGTGCCTGTTTTCTCTAACTAATTCTAATGATGAGGCCAGCGGGAGCAATGTCAGCATTGACAGTGGACTTGGTTAAAATACACACTTAGGAACCCTTTCCAAACCTCCAGAATCACATTACCTAGAGTGGGGTCAAAATTACTAAGAGATGTATAAGGTCATTCAAACTTGAGAGGTAATTCTTAGCTAAGTGGTTATCAGCCCAGGCTTCTAATTAGAATTACATGGCCAATTTGCAGAAATCTCTTTCCTTGTGTTTATGGGCCAGAGAAACTGGGAAAAACAGGTTATTTCATTTACTGGATGTTTGACAAAATATTCTTATCAGGCCAAAAACAGTTACATTACTGGTGAATTTGTTAGAAATTCAGAAACTCAGTCCTTATTTCAGATCTTTTGAAAAAAAAAATCTGCCAGAAAAGATCTCCAGTTCATTGTACACGTTGAAATTTGAGAGGTACCTTGTAACTCAACATGTGTTTTTCATCTGAAAAATGTACACAGCTCATTTGGTTTGATGCAAATACAGCACTTAAAAATATACATTTGCACACACTGCCATGTGTGTACCTATGCAACAATCTTGAATGTTCTTCACAGGTACCCCAAAACCTAAAATGCAATAAAAAATAAAAATAAAATAATGTACATTTGTGTGTTTATGTCTTGAATTTTATACTTTGTAATCCAGAAAACTATTATATATTCACTGATGTTGTGGGTTATGCTAGTCTCTTTACACAGAGTTAGAGAATACATTAGAATATATTTCTGTGTTGAGAATTATTTTATAGATTTCATCCACTCCCATAAGTTACAAGCACTTCTTTTTTTTTTTTTGAAACAGAGTTTCGCTCTTGTTACCCAGGCTGGAGTGCAATGGCGCGATCTCGGCTCACCGCAACCTCCGCCTCCTGGGTTCAGGCAATTCTCCTGCCTCAGCCTCCTGAGCAGCTGGGATTACAGGCATGCGCCACCATGCCCAGCTAATTTTTTGTATTTTTAGTAGAGACGGGGTTTCACCATGTTGACCAGGGTGGTCTCGATCTCTTGACCTCGTGATCCACCCGCCTTGGCCTCCCAAAGTGCTGGGATTACAGGCGTGAGCCACCGCGCCCGGCCACAAGCACTTCTTTTTACTCTCATTTTATCTTGAGTCAAATTAAAAATTCTGCCCATGGCTGTTTGATAAATATGTATGTGTGTGTGTGTGTGTGTGTGTGTGTTTATCAGGGACCATTGACATTTATGGATGTGACCATAGAATTCTCTCTGGAAGAGTGGCAATGCCTGGACACTGCACAACAGAATTTATACAGAGATGTGATGCTAGAGAACTACGGAAACCTGGTCTTCCTCGGTGAGAATAACTACAATACACAATTCATAATATACCCCAAATGTTTTATTCTATTTTATTTCATTTGTAAAATGTTTTTGGTTAATTTGCTTTGTATAGATAAGTTTAAGATCCCTGTTTTGAAAAAAAAGTTTGGATATTTGTGTAGAGGAATATCTTCAAGATATTTCATGTTGATCTGAATTATCCACATTCCTAAGCTGATCTGTATTTTTCACTCTAGATTATTGGTAATGACAAAGTTGGTGGCTTAAAATACTGTTTCCTACACCTAAAAATCTATTGCCACCCACCAGTTTATTTTAATTTATTGTTGTTTGTTTTGTTTTTGAGATGAATCTTGCTGTGGTCTCATGCTGGAGTGCAGTAGTGCAAGCTTGGCTCACTGCAGCCTCCACCTCCTGGGTTCACAGGGTTTTCCTGCCTCAGCCTCCTGAGTAGCTGGAATTACAGACACACACCACAACCTCCTGTTAGTTTTATTTGTATTTTTAGCCATTTTGTCTAGGCTGGTCTCTAACTCCAGACAATAGGTGATCTGCCTGCCTCTGTCTTTCATACTGCTGGGATTACAGGCATGAGCCACTGTGCCTGGCCTTCCATCACCAGTTTTTGATTGAGTGGTACTAGGGGGTTAAATTAGAAACATACAAATTTAGACTGGGCATGGTGGCTCATGCCTGTAATCCTAGCACTTTTGGAGGCCAAGGTGGGCAGATTACCTGGGTTTGGAAGTTTGATACCAGCCTGACCAACATGGAGAAACCGTGTCTCTATGAAAAATACAAAATATTATGTGTGGGTAGTGGTGCATGCCTGTAATCCCAGTTACTTGGGAGGCTGAGGCAGGAGAATTGCTTGAACCCACGTGGTGGAGGTTGTAGTTAGCCAACATTGTGTCATTACACTCCATCCTGGGCAACAAGGGCAAAACTTCATCTCAAAAAAAAAAAAAAAAAAAAAACAAATTTAAAATATTTTCTAAATGTTTAAAAATTTCTGTTTTAAATTATTATTTTGGGATTAATTTATGAGGCTATTCTATCATTCTTACAGAGCGAATTACTGACTTGAGAACTGGAGAATATGAACAACATTCATGTTTATTTATTTATGTTTAATAAAACAGGTATTGCTTTGTCTAAGCCAGCCCTGATCACCTACCTGGAGCAAGGAAAAGAGCCTTGGAATATGAAGAGACATGAGACTGTAGCCAAACCACCAGGTATGTGAGAATGAATGCAACAGATGAGAGGTCCAAAAGTCGAAGAGAAAGTCAGTCTTTAAAATGTGATTTGGGAAGCTGTGTTCCAAAGGAAATCGTTTCTGGGATACCTGAGGACTTTGTATTTTGCTCTAACACAGAGGTACCTTCTGTCTTATGTTTTTAAATTTTCTAAAGTTTCTTCTTTTTCTTTGGTGATCTTTTTTCAAGTTTACAATGAGAGCCCAAAGTCCTCTTCATAAAGTAGAAGAGACTGCACAATCCGACTGCTTTTCCATTATTAGGGGGAACACAAAAATATCTGCATAATTTTGAGAAACCTCTATGTTAAACTCTTGTTTTAAATTCTCTATAGCATCATGCATGAAATGTGTGAGTGGTGGTTTATGTCCCATCTTTGTTGTTGTTCATTTTTCCACACAGTCCATTCACTTTTTATTACTATAGACTTGAAACACAGTTTAAAATTATAAAGTATGATGTCCTTCTGCTTTATTCACTTTCCTCAAGAGTGCTTTGGCTATTCAAAGTTTATTGTAGTTTCACATAAATTTACAATTGTATTTTTCATTACTTTGAGAAAAATACCACTGACATTTTGAAAGGGAGTTTATTGAATCTATAGACTACTTTGGATAATATGGCACTTTAAAAATATTTATTCTTTCAATCCATAGACATAAAAAATTTTAAATTTATTTTTGATATCGCATCTTTCTTTTTTTTTTTGAGACAGAGTTTTGCTCTTGTTACCCAGGCTGGAGTGCAATGGCGCCATCTCGGCTCACCGCAACCTCCGCCTCCTGGCTTCAGGCAATTCTCCTGCCTCAGCCTCCTCAGTAGCTGGGATTACAGGCACGTGCCACCATGCCCAGCTAATTTTTTGTATTTTTAGTAGAGACGGGGTTTCACCATGTTGACCAGGATGGTCTCGATCTCTTGACCTCGTGATCCACCCGCCTCGGCCTCCCAAAGTGCTGGGATTACAGGCTTGAGCCACCGTGCCCGGCATATATCGCATCTTTCATTGTAAATATTTTTTACATCTGGTTTATTTTTTTCTTAGAAATTTATTGTTTTATAATAGAAAAACAGTGCTATTCCAAATAGATTGTTTTTCTATTATATCAGAGAGTTTAAGTATGTGGAACCATAACTTATACTTGTAATTTAATTTTATTATATTTTTCTAATTTAATGAGTATGTTTATTAGTTTAGACAGGTTTTAATGTACTGTTTATTTTTTTTATATATAAGATTATATAATCTAGAAACAGCAAGTTTTCACTTACTTGTCTTCAATTTCGATGTCTTTAAAAACTTTTTGTTTATCTCTTCTGACATACTTTTAGTGCTATGCTAAAATAGAAGCATTGACAATGGACACAATATAGTTTTGCATTAGTGTCTGTGAATTTGAAGGAGCAAATACCTCTTCAACTTTTTGTAAAATGGTTTTAGAAGGTAAAGATTTTCTTTTGTTAGGCCCCCAGGGTGATGGGATGCTCTCTGGGTTTGTAATGGAGATGGTTGGTAGTTTGGTTTGTTATAGGACTTCTGAGTCTACACTAGGGTCCACCTTTCGCTGGCTTGTTACAAAGAACTTGGGTAGTTGTAATTTCCATTTTGTTTTTAGACAGACTGAATATCCTTTAGGACTTTGATTTGTAGAGAAGACACTAAGGGAGGTGTCTGCAGTTGGGTCTGCATATGGTGGACCTTATATCAGTGTGCGGATGAGTATGGCTTTCACTGAATACCAGAGAGTTTTTTTTTTTTTTTTTGGAGACAGAGCCTCACTCTGTCAGCCATGCTGGAGTGCAGTGGCACAATATTGTCTCACTGCAACCTCTGCCTCCCAGGTTTAAGCAATTCTCAACCTCAGTCTTCTAGTAGCTGGGAATACAGGTGTCTGCAACCACGCTTGGCTAACATTTGTATTTTTAGCATAACTGGGGTTTCACCATCTTGGCCAGGCTGGTCTTTAATTCCTGACCTCGTGATCCACCCTCCTTGGTCTCCCAAAGTGCTGAGATACTACAGGCATAAACCACCATGCCCAGCCCCAAAGAGAATTTTTCATTTCAAATAAGTCATTGTGTGGGTTTGTAGGCATAACTGGCCATGAACTGTGGTCCAGGAAGCTGAAACGGAGTCACTGAACTGCTTCTGGAATCACAGTAAAGGCCAAGGTCTGCAGGCCTGCCTGTGTGGCTATTAATTTGTATTTTCCTCCAGGCCTCTGGGGGGAAAGGGCCTCTCCCAGATGGTTGCTGGGAGGAGTTTGGGATGGTCACAGTGTAAGTTCACCATTCTCAGTGAGACCAAGTTGAGTGGACCATTTCCTAGTTCTTTAGCCAAGAGCAGAGGTCCTGTGATTTCCTACATTAATGAGCGTCTGCCTTCTGAAAAGAACACTCCTCAATTTTGGGCTTTAGCAGAGTTTCACAACTTCCTTCCTGGATCTCAAAGCTCTATTAAAGGCACTTAATTTTTGAGATGTGATCTTGCCACATAAACCAGCCTGGTCCTGAAATCCTTTCCTGCAACAATTCTCCAACCTCAGTGTACCATGTAGCTGTCATTATAGGTGTGAGCCATAGTGTCTAACTCTATTATATAGGCATTTTTGTGCAAAATGGCTGACAAATTTTCTTGCTCTGGGGGAATGAGAAAATAAAGCACGTTTTCCCGTCTTACTGATGTTACTATCCCTATACATTTCTACCTTCTGTTTCCTATTTTAAATTTGTCTGCAACATTAGATTCAGACATTTGGGACGACATGTTAGAATATACATATGATGCATGTGTTACAGAATCTTTGAGGTGTTAGCTTTTTTCTGGAAATCTCTGTGACCAGTGGCACTATTACCCGAGTTCTTGTCCTGCATCCAGGAAGAATAAGATATGCAGACAAGTGAAGGATGAAGAAAACATGGAGGATCTTTATTTAGTGTTAGAAGGGTTCAGAGGAGACACACCGTGGGTAGCTCCTCTCTGTAGGCAGGTCATCCCATCAAGTGTTTAACTCTCAGAAGAGAGAATGCCCTGAAGAGGGTGACTTCATTCTGCAGGCAGGGTCATTCTGAGGTCTCTGCACGTCTCCGAAGCTGCCAGCAGAGAAGGTAGTTTGTCTCTGCAACTGATCATCACATTGTTTCTGTGTCCTCTGCCCTTTGTCTGAAGCCAGGGCTTTTCTGGGCTTCAGAAGGAAGTAAGCGCATTACAATTGGTCCATGGGTGGCCATCAGCAGGCCAGAAGGAGGCACCAGAAGTCCCTGCTGTCATCTGTGGGCCCGTAAAGGTGGTGCTCTACAAGGGACTAACTCCTTTCTGCTATGGAACCTGTCTGCCTCCTGCTACCATTTATGGCTCCCGGCTTGACTAAAACCCTGCTCTGAGATTGCAGTATACAGGTGCTGGGAGAGGAGAGAGGCCATGAAGCAGGAATAGACACCTCCAAGCCAGCAAAAATGGGAGAGGACCGTCCCAGGACTCCAAGGATGTAGGCAGCAGAGATGCCCATGTCTTCCACCTGGAAGGGTGGCTGCAGCTGCACCCACGAAGCTCCAACCTCACCAGCTCAAAAGGGGCAGAGCTCCTGCTTGTCCTTGTGGAGCCGGAGGTCCAGGTTTGTAGCTGTGAGTCAGACAGCTGCTGCGGCATCCGGGAGGGAAGATTTGGCTTTCCCTCAGTGAAAAACATGATTGACAAAACAAATTTAGTCACCTTTGTGATTTACAATGACCTAACACAATAATTTTAATTATGATTGATAACACAAACTCAGACATCAGAACTCTAGGAATTCCATACAACTTTTGGAACACACATTAACATTTCCCCCCAAAATGTTACCTGAAAATCAAACACTACCTGACCAATAATCCTATGTCAATAAACATGTCAAATAATCCCGTTTACCTCTCCCTTGGATGCCCCAGGGGCTCTCTGTGGCATCCAAAACTATGGGTTAGAAAAGACAATTTTGAAGCTATAAAGGCTCAAAACACTTAATAGAAATTTAGATTACCACAAGTCATCTGTTTAAAAGACATAAAGTTGGGTTTTCTTCTTGTTTTTTTAAGCACAAAGTTGTCAAGAGGGAAAGTCTAGTTTTTCAAACAATCTGTTTCTTGTCTTCACCTTTGTTTTTAGATGATTTATTCATAAGTCAAAGAAAAATCTTTTTTCAAGGGAAACAAAGCCAAATTTCACACTTGCATTAGTCTACTATTGTCAACCCCAACTTTTTAAATAAAACCTTATAGATAGTTTTATCCAGTCTTAACCAAGTTGACCATGAGGTGTGATTCTTACTAAACTTTTATAACCCTTTACAAATTTGTGTTAAAGAGTAGGTCAGTGCCTTAAGGCACCCTTGTTGTGCTTTTATTCCAGTGTTCAATTTATGGAAAAACTAAATAATAGTTTTTCAGCCAATATGTTCACACATAGATTCTGTTTATAATTTTTACTAACTTTCCATAACTTGTTTAAACTTTTAGTTGTAATTTACTTAAAAACAATCCTTTAACCCTCTAGGCAAAAATTTGCATTTTCACGCCTTCTTACTTTCTTTTACTGAAGACATATTTCACTTTCCTTACATACCTTCCATGCAAATCTGTTTTCACTAGTCTCAATTACATGTTATAATGGCAACTGTTAGCAATCCTTAGTTTTGGTGAAATGCCTGGCAAGTTATTTTAGTCTTATGGACTTAGGTGCAGGTCAGGTTTTACTGTTTCTGGCACAGCTAGAGACATGGCATATGTTTTCTGCTCTTACCAACATGTAAAACAGAAAAGTAAAAAAGCATTCAAAAGCCAAAGAAGCAGTTAGTGACCTTAAAACATTTAACCAACCTAGTTTCTGAGTTGCATAATTTGAAATCTATATCTACGTTTTGAAGACCATTCTATTTTTATTTTAGCAATAATTTTAAAGTTAGCTTATTTACTTAACTTATACTAAAGTCATATGTATTTAAAAA